ATGTTTATATACATGTTTAGAAACTTTCCTCCAGTTTTTACTATTTTTGGAGTTGATTTACTGTGCCTACTTGATTTTACAAAATCGTGTATTACAGCAGATTTTCAGAAACTGTATTTTTGTGTTCAAACATTTATTTCTCTCGACTGGGGAATGATTTTTCAGAAATTCTTTCTCTGACATGTTAATCTACATGTCTAGAACATTCCCACAAAATTTCAAGACACTAATGGCTATTTTTCTGAGCTGTCTTCTGGGGACTTTTTTGTCTTTTGTTAGGGGTTTTGGCTGAGTTTTTGAGTGGGTATAAATACCCTATTGCTGTTTTCTTTCAAGCCATCTAAGAGAGTTTTAAAACAAGTTTAAGAAAGTTTTTAATCAAGGGTTTAAGTTTTGTTTAAAAGAGTTTAAGAGTTTGTTTGAGTTTAGTTTGTGAAGCAAATTTCACAAGAGCAAAGAGGAGATCATCCTTTGGTGTTTGGGCATTCAACTCATCTCTCTCTCACTCTTGATCTATAGAGAAGTTTTCCTTAAACTCAATTCTAGCTATTTATTGTTTTGATCTTAATTTCCATAAGCTAGATTTCTATATTGAGTTTAATCGTTTTATTGATACTCTTTGTTCACACACAACCTATTGAGCTTATTGTATTTACATTCATAGTATAATTTAGGGTTGTGAGTTTGTGACATTGAGAGTGAGCTTAATTGAGTTCTCACCTTATTTTGAGAACAATCATTTGTCATAATTGTGCTTTATTGTGAGGATTCACTTGTAATACACTTGTACACCGAGAGAAGTGTGTGGTGAGAGACGGGGTCGAATCCAAGAGGAGTGGCGTCGGTTGACGTGCCTAGGGAGAGGTTGTAACCGAGCACTTGAGGAGGAGGACACGGGCTAGGACCAACACTTAGTGTGTGAGGTGTGATTACATAGTGATTGTATTGTGAGGTGTAAACGTTGTTCGGGTGAACGTAGAAAACCCGATTGTGATAGTGGAGATCTCCTCGAGGTGAGGAGCGGGGACGTAGGTCGTGGGGACCGAACCTCGTAAACATATCGTTTTGTTTGTGATTGCATTGGCGTTCTTATTCTTATTTTCATATCTTATATCGCCTTTGTGTATTGCTCATCATATTGCCCTATCACTTGTGTAGATTGTTTATTTTACCCTTGTGCTAGTTTACATATCCTCACATATATCATATTGCATATCTATTTGGTAGGATATATCACCTTGTGTTAGTTTTATATCCTTGCACATATCATTGTATATATATTTCATCATATAGGATATATTTCTTGTTTACATTGCTTATCCTAGCCTATATATCTTGTTATATTTTATACTTGCTAGGATAACTTATTAATTAGTTTTAATTGGCATTTAATCGGATTAGATTAGCATAAGACCCTAATCACCCCCCCTCTAGGGTCTAACAGCTTGTCCCTGACATGGTCACTAATGTGGATATATGCCACACACCCAAAGACTCTTAAGTGTGAGAGATTAACTTTCTTACCACTCCTAACCTCTTCCAGAATCCTAAAGTTTAATGGAACTGATGGCCCGTGATTTATCAAGTACGTTGTTGTATGCACCGCGTCCGCCCAAAAGGTTTTAGGTAGACCTGCATGTAGACGCATGCTTCTTGCACGCTCTGTCAGCGTTCTGTTCATCCTTTCTGCTACGCCGTTCTGTTACGGCGTCCCTGGAGTAGTCCTCTCCAAATGAATCTCGTTCAGAGCACAGAACTTCTTAAACTCCTCCAAATTATATTCTCCACAATTATCTGATCTTAGACACTTTACTTTCAGATCTGTCTCGTTCTCCACCATAGCTTTCCACTTCTTGAAGATGCTGAACACCTCCGACTCGTGCTTCATGAAGTATACTCACACCTTCCTCGAGTGATCGTCGATAAAGGTGACGTAGTATGCCGAACCGCCAAGAGAAGACACGCTAGCTAGACCCCATACATCTGTATGAACAAGTTCTAGCTTGTGAGCTTTAGGTGGTCTTCCACGACACGCTAGCTAGACCCCATACATCTGTATGAACAAGTTCTAGCTTGTGAGCTTTAGGTGGTCTTCCACCCTTCAGAAAACTAACTCTCTTCTGCTTCCCGAAGATGCAGTCTTCGCAAACACTGACTTCCACCGAATCGATGCCGGTTAGCTTCCCTTCTGAGTATAGAATCTTCATACCCTTCTCACTCATGTGTCCCAGCCTATTGTGCTATAGATCTGCATTCTCATTGCCTGCAGCAATCACGAGGGTGTCACTCGCGTGTGAAGTTAGGTAGAGAGTACCGGTCTTGTTACCTCGGGCAACCACCATTGTACCATTGGAGATTTTCCACGAATCTCCGGTGAATGTTATAACATAGCCTTCTGCTCCGAGCTGGCCAACCGAAATAAGATTCCTCTTTAACTTCGGTACGTGTTTGACGTTCTTTAGAGACCACTTGGAGCCCTTCAACTGTATTTGCACATCGCCTCTTCTAATGACACTACAAGGTTCATTATCCCCCAAGTATACTTTTTTAAAGTCTCCTGCTACATAGTTCTGAAATAGCTTTCTATTAGCAGTGGCATGAAAAGAGACTCCCGAATCAATGACCCATGAATCGGAATCGCTATCCATAGCGAGTATCAGCACATCTTGTACAATATGAGCCTCCTGCTCATTTTTCTTTGGTGCTTTACAGGTAGAAGACATGTGGCCCTCCTGGCCACAGTTCCAACATTTCCCCTTGATAGGTCTCACCTTCGAGTTAGACCTTTTCTTCTTTGACTTCGATCGATTCCTGTTTTGGTTCTCCCTATTATGGCTTCTGCCTCTCTGCTCGACACTTAGGGCTGAACCCGAACATTCTGATTCATTCGATTTTCTTCTAACCTCCTCGGATAGAATCATAGCTACCACCTCCTTCAGCTTCAACTTCTTCTTTCCTGCCGAGTTGCTGATTGCGGTCACGCAACCTGCCCAGCTATCCGGCAACTGCGATAGTATCAATAGGACCTGCACTTCGTCATCAAACTTGATGTCGACTGAGATAAGTTGATCAACAATCGTGTTGAACTCGTTGAGATGCATCGTGAAGGAACATCCTTCTGCCATCTTGAGGTTGAATAGCGTCTTGACGAGATGCACCTTATTTGCAGCTGATGGTTGCTCGTACATCGTTACAAGCGCTTCCATAAGCCCCACCGTCGTCTTCTCCTTTAATATATTGTGTGCTACAGATTTTACGAAGGCCAATCGGACCTGCCCCAGGGCTTTTCGATCCAATATTCCCTAGTCCTCGTTGGATTCTTCTTTCTTCTTTCCTTTTGCTTTACCCATCAACGGACGATAAAGGTCCTTCTGGTAAAGATAGTCTTCCATCTGTGACTTCCAGTAGGCGAAGTCTGATCCGTCAAACTTCTCAAATTTTAATTTGCCTTCTTCTGTCATTTCTTACACACACAGATTTGAACAAGAGCTCTGATACCAGTTGTTGGGGGAATATCAGATACGCTCTGACACCCATTCTGCAGAATTTTCCCTACCGGATCTTGTGTTAAGCAATGGAAAAAATCACTACAAATAAAAAAATGATTACAAGAACAAAGAACACCAATTTTTGAGGTTCGGCAACTTGCCTACGTCCTCGGGAGCCACACAAATAATTTTCTTTATATTAAAGAAGATTACAAATATACTAGAGTTGTAACAAAACAACCAAATACGAAAATACAACTATTAATTGCACATTTTCTATCAACCATGTTTGCACACCAACCATAACCATTAAGAATATGGAAACATAATCCTCAGTCTTCCCACAATATCGAAATTTTGGTATTACGCAAAACACATTAAGATGGAGATTCAAATCGTATCAGATACAATTTTAAAATGGATTCAGAAAAGGTACCGCTGCACTAAATAGTTCAGATTTCAATAGTTAAATTGATACTACGCCCGCAAACACATGCTCTAGAATGCAAAACTGTTCTCACCGTAATTTTGAAATTTTGCTACAAGAGACTTTAAGGAATATGTTTCTAGCTAGCAGTCTCGTTTACCCTCTGTCTATTGCAAACTAACATTATCTACTTTGGCCTAGATTGTTCACATGTAATTTGGTGACAAACATTTGTCGACAAGTGTAAACGGGAGCCACACAAATAATTTTCTTTATATTAAAGAAGATTACAAAGCTTGTAAAAGAGTAGATCTCAAACTTGAAATCTCTCAAATGAAGAGCTAAACAGAAACTCTCGGTTGTTCGAATAAAAGACGCGAGATTTTACAACAGTAAAATCTCCCCCCTCTCTCTCAATAAATGCTACAGTAACTGAGATTAAATGAGCGAGATTTTCTTCTGAAAATCTCGAGCTCACTTAATGGCCGCCGCCTCTGAAGTTGTCGCTGAGAAGAAGGAAAAATGCGGCTGCAACGATCTCGTGCTCATGGGTTTCCCTTAAATAGGGAAACCCTAGCCTACAGCTGGAGACAGCTGTTCTCCAACCCCGCAGGCGAAGAAAAGGGGGAGGCGATCTTCGATTTCGGCTGACTCAGCCCATGCTCGCCTGTAAGAAGGGGGATCTCGCCTGTAGGGACTCGCCGGCTCCGGACTTCGCCCGCACAAGACCATCGAGCCCGCCTGCTCGATTTCCCGACTTCACTTCGCTCGAATTCGCCTGTTCGAGATCCGCCCGCGCCTAATGCCTTCGAGCTCGCCTGCAAGGAGATCCAAACCTCGCCTGCAAGCTCATCTCGCTCGAGCTCGCCAACTGGACTTCGCCTGAAGCCCATCGACCTCGAGTTCGCCTGAGCTCGTCTTCGCCGTCACTGACAGGTATGGGCTACACCCATTTCCAACAAAACCTACTCAAAAACCAATTAAGTCCTGCTGTTTCTAACTCATCCTCAGACTCCACAGCAAGAGGAGTTGTAGAAGCCATGTTAGTCTTCTCTGCTCAGCGTACAACTCCGAAGGGGAGAGAAGGAGGTAGTTTTAAATTGAAAGTTCATTAATGATTAATAATTTGGAAGTTGAGGTAGGTATGAGCTTATTATTGGTGTGGCAGGAGGCAATCAAGAGACATTGAGGCTTAAAATGGCATATATAGTAACGTGTAACATAGATCACGAGTTTATATCCGTAATGACTATACTAAACAGGATCATGATTTCAAACTATAAAAACTATTTCTTAATAAAATTTAAAAGCTATGTGAAGTTACAAACAACACAGTACAATGTTCAATATATCATCAAAAATTTATGTATCTCGTTTATATATTCACTCTCACAAAAAGTAAATTCACCTGTCACAAGCTTAATGATGTCACTAGATATATGAATCACCATAATGCAAGAAGCAATCAAACCTTAGCAAGCAATCCAAAAGTAAATACATAGCAACTTCAAATCTTAAGCAAAGCAAACAAAGAAAATATTGTCAAATCTCTGCGACAAGTTGTACTGACATAATGCATCTTATATTCAACTAACATATGCTACACTAAAGTAATACACGCTAAATTGTAAAAACGTAGTTTTACAACGCGCTTTGAGTTATATCAAAAATGCTATGTAATGTTTAAATTAGTTACAAACATAAAATAATGATGTCATTTTCAAAAAAATTATTGAGGTTTGAGAGTTAGGTTACGTACCTTCTGGCTGTGTGCACACAAGTGGGCCTGGATCTAGATAAGATACAAATACAAGGGTGGTTGGTAAGGAGATTCCTTAGTGCATATATGTCAAAATCGACTATGGATACTGATCAATTAAAAGAACAACATATAAAGACAAAATGTAGAGATGAGGATAACATATAAGATTAGTAAATGTATATATCATGTTAGACAAAACCCTACTTAAATGTAAATAAAATTTCTCAAATCAGAGCCCAAAGACATTTTTGACATATCAAAAAAACTATTGTTAGATCTATGGATCACAAAAATGGATATCACATCCACTACGTACTCTAAGGTGAAAATGAACGATTGAAATTGTTCAATCAATACATAATCTGATTATTTGGACACGGGTTGAGATACTCACTTATATTCATAATATCCATATCTGTATCCCATCGGAACGAGAGTACTCTATATACAACATACTAATTCAGAATACTTAGATATATAAATTATACAAATTCTCCTTTTCCCTTAGGAGCTCTATAGCTTTTTGAGTGATCATGTTACAATTAAGATCTGGTACTAATACTTGACAGATGAACATTCTAATGCAACAAAGAAGAAGATCCTCAAACATTTGGTCTTGTTATTGTTATTTCTCAAAGTAACATATGAGAAACAAGGGAAGCATGCTCTTCTATCAAATGTACCCAAAAATCTTCCACTTAGAAACTGTTTACATACAAAAATCCCTACGGTTTATCATCTAAGCCAATAATACCTTAAGATATAAATTCCAATAAACCACTCTCTGATAATATATAGTTCCAGCTAAACAAGCAGGCGATTTTTTTCATCCTGAGCTACCAAATCCAATTTAGTCCACTTTGAACGGATAGTGATCACGAGGAGAGTTGTTGCTTGACAAAAGAGCCCACAGATTAGACCTAGCCACAATCCCTGCACAAATAGAACAATAAGAGTTTAGATCTCTTCATGCATATATAAGGGAACCTTCTCCCCAACACAAAATTAATTAAAAAAAAGAAGAATATATTACATTCATGATGAACGTCTAAGCTTAATTCTGTGTCTTTGAAATTTTTACATCATGATGAATGTTATTGTCTTTCTATAATATATATACACCTATAGCACAGGGGTCTTCTTTCTTTTTCTGTTGAGAGAACGACTGGTGCTATATTTAGTTGCTTGGTAGAAGAAAATTTACCCTTTGTAAGAAGTTGGCAAGCTGCTATTGCCCTATAAATAGTTGATCCAAAATTTGTATGCTCAAATGTCATGGACCATTATGTGACATTAAATGAGGAAACTGCTAAACAACATATGTACAATCCCATTATTATAGAGTACATGTGTATCACTGGTAGTTATATATTCTTGTCTCTCATAGTTGGGTGAAAGAGGGACATAGGACATAATATAATGGCAGAGACTGTTGTAGTACATTAATGAGGGCACCAAAAATGACAATATATAGCTCCGTGATGCATTACATTAACGGGACAACAAAAAGATGTCAACCATTTGGACTAAAAGATTTACTGATTTGTGCACTTATCCAACAACTGAAATTAATCCGGTGCACCATTAATGCAATGAACTGGGACCATTGAATATTTTCTTGTGAGGGAGATTGTTAGTTCTCTCTTATAACACAGTTAACCTCTTTCAATACAGATGATGTCCACTCATATGTCATACACAATTACTATGATAAGACCACACCTTTTAGAAGTATCAAGAATCCTCAAGTCAATATGCCAAAAAACTTTGCAATTGGCAATGGTTGCATTTAATGCATGAATTATACTATTTTCTGCTCCAAATACGAAATCTATTACCTTATGCAAATTGTATATATGCATGCATGTAGCGGTCTTGTGATTTCAATTGATGAAGAAAACATACATACAAATTTAACCCATTTCTTCAGGCTCATGCGCCAACAAACATAGGATTGTTTACATTTAAAATGAAGTTAACATACCTTATCGTAAAACCCGAGCTTAAATCCAAAGAGGAGAGCCACTGGCATGCCAACTAAGTAAAAGCATGCTAAATTGGTCCAAGCCGCTAAATGCTGCCAACCACATCCTCTAGACACTCCTGCAGTCCCTCATCCAAAACCATGAAAATTAGGAATATTAACTCCACAAATAAAATTCTAAATTCGAAATTTTCATAGAAACTTTAGTGATCATCACCTGATAGAACTCCTTGTGCTGAGTCCAACAGTATAGACACCGAGAGCAAGGGAGTCATCGAAGCAAAATCTTTAATGATCATGGCGTTTGTGGTGAAAGATTTGGCCCAAATCTTCTGGCCAAATGCTAGTGAAAGAAGAAAAGTGAGAGCAAGAAAGAAAGAGAGCTTCAGCGTGACAGATACAGCGTTCTTAGCCTTCTTGATGTTTCCAGCACCCATCTCATTTGACACTCGAGTGCTGCGATGATAACGAAATCAGAAACTATGTAAGAAGTTTTTTTGTTAGAGACTAGAGAGTTTGTACCTCACTGCTGCACTAAATCCATATGTGATCATGTATGCAATGGCTTCCGTCTGGACACTGTTTTCAAAGCAAAACCTAGCTTTTTAGAATGCATATGCAGTGGGAAAATACGATAAATTATTTAAAATCAGGAACAAGTGTATCTAAATTAATTTAAGTAGGCATACCACATAGCAACAAGTGAAGTGCTGTTCTCAGAGTTTGGCATCAATCCAGCCAGCAACACTAGAATCTCGAAAGCACAATATTCCAAACTATGGCAACAAGAACAAGATCTAAGTTAGCTAACACATCAAGGAAGATGCTTAGTTAAATTGGATCCAGAGTCTTAGTGAAATAGTCGAATCATACTAATAACTGGCATCATTCATATTTATACAGATAATCTAATGCCCATAGATTTGAGCCAGATAACAGAATGCCCATAAAGTTGAAAGAACTAACCAGATCATTAATGCGGAGGATGTTGCCAGCTTCAAACTAGGAAGCACATGTTGGAATGACTCCATGGATAATCCTTCCCAAGTGTATCTAAATTTCTCTGAATAATTGACATATATTGCTAACATAAACACTGATATCCACAGTGATATTGAGCTAGCCAATGATGCTCCAATGAAACCGAGGCCCAAGGTATGAACAAATAAATATGTTAATCCCACATCGAAAACAAGGGGGAGTAGAGAGCAAATAACTAGAGGAACCACCAGTGACTGAGTCTGGAGAAATCTCACTAGGCACTGTAAGTAGGCGTAGGCAAATAGTCCAGGTATAAGAAACCTCAAATAGATGGTAGCCATTTTCGCTACACTAGGATCTTGGTGCAGCAAAATTAATACCGGTTCTGAGAAGTACCACAGTATAGATACGATAACTGAAGCGAAAGTAGTCAGGATAATCGATGATTGTAAATATATCCCCAACATTCTGTATAGTTTTGCTCCGTATCCTTGACCACAAAGAGTCTCAAGAGCTCCACTCAAGCCAGTCTGAAACGGTTGAAGAATTAAGAGCAAAAATGGTCATTGAACGCAAAAATGGTGGGCTCGTATTATACCAAAACGTTTAAATGCATGCGAGAATCAGAAAGATTCAAACATTTGAATGATAACATTTGGAAATATGCAGGTTCAGTTTTCCATTACCTTTTGCCCCTTACCAGTGGCATATTGCAATGGATCAAATTAAATGAAGAAAAGAAAACCATTATGTCGGCATAATAATCATGAATACAGCGTTTTCAATATCTCTGCAATGCTCTGTATCTTTTTTTCGAACTACAACCTATGAATCTTTAGGTCTTCTCAGAGATCTCTACAAATGTGAAATGATATTGAATAATGAGCGCTGCTACAAGGACCCAAAATACCAGCTCATTATGCAATAGGGAGGGGACACCTCCATTGGTCCCATATTTTGGGTCCTTAAAAGACATTTTTCTTGAATAAAACTACCAACATCTAAACTGATTTCTCACTCTAAATACATAAAACACACCGTATAGAATACGACTCTTGTTGAATATGAATACGTGAATGTAGAAATAAGCCACTCACATTCTGCATCTTTTTTCGAAGCAGGTTATGATAAAAGGCGGGGAATTGCATCACATAATTAACAGCCAGCTTAAAACCTAGTCGGATCATTTATGAATGCGACATGAGTCATACAGAAAGAAAATTACCAAAAACTGTCGTAAATTAGCGAGGGGTGAATTTTTTTGTTTAATATAATTACCATGAGACTTAACCCAGTGACGGTCCCCCAAGAATTGCCAAGAGTAGCGCCAGCAAGCTCAACATCACCCAGATGACCAGCAAACATAACGGCGACGAGGGTAACAGCATAATACGACATGTTGGTGAGGATCATTGGAACAGAGAACAGCAACTGAGTCCTGGCCTCGTTAACATCTATAAATTTACTCATAAACCCACTAACTCCTTCGGCTTCTGACCCCGCCTCCTCAAAATCCACGACAAGAGGAGATGTTGAAGCCATGGCTGGCTTTCTTCTCTCTGAATGCAGAAGGAGGGAAGTTGCAAATGAAAGGGCTTTTTTCCAATGATTAATTGGTAGGAAGTTGAGGGGTTTGACTGTAAAGTTCATGTATTTGAGTGGCAGTGGACAAGTGAGACTTTTGCGCTGCACCTTCCAAACAAGGAGGCGTGGATTTTTCTCTATCGAATACAAACAAAAAGTTGCGCTCTTGATATTATAAGAAACACAGATAAAATCGAAAAATTTAAAAAGTATGTACTCGAAATTGGAAACAGTAGGATGTTATGAGCCCCCTTCTTAAATTAATTAATCAAAAGCCTTTTTCTTAGTCGAAGCACTTATCGGGTCGGATCAAAGGAACGGACCCATTCAACTTGACAAAGTCGCATGCCTCATGTTCGCAACATTTATATAAGTTTTTTTATATTGCGTGCGTTCTATGCATCAAAGTTTTTTAATAACACGTGCCTTGCTTGAAAGTGATGCATATTATAATTATTCGTGTAGACGTGATTGTTTTATGCTTTAAATTTGATTATAAAAAAATTTATATGCAGACAATAAGGAAAAAAATCATTGAAAAAATGAATATAATAATTAATAATATAGAAGATGGAAATAATTATTTTTGATTTATATGCATAATAATTCTAGAAAATATTTTGGTTCAAAATATTTCCAAGTACAAAGATTTGACATATGATTGAGCATTAAGATGGAAAGTGTGTACTTATGCAAAAAAGTTAAAAAGTGATATAAGGAAGCTCTTTTTTTTTCTCTAGAATTTGCTTCTTATGATGGATGATAGTATCAATAAATTTTCTTTCACAACTATTCTCATTGTCACAAGAACATTTTCATTTGGTATACATATGAAATTCACATATATTATAGGCTCTTTGTCATACCTACGCGAAGCCAAAACTCTTCAAGAGATTTCATATAAAGATTAAGAGAAAATCTTTGATTATCTTTGATTTTATGAGACTTTTACATTGGTTACTTTTGTTTTTTTTAGCACAGGTAGTTACAGATAAGGCTTGGCAGAAATCTTCTCTAATGAACTATTATTCCACAGAAAAGTTTTGATCACCCAAAATATCTATTAATATTCTTTCGATTGTTTGAATTATAAATCTTTTGTCATTTGTGCTTTATCTTATAACATTCATATAAACCTTGAGATTCCATCTTGCTAATAAATAATTATAATAAACTTTGTTGGTTGGGATATTTTCTTAATATTTCTCAGAAAAATTTAGCCAAATATAATTAATCTATATAACCATATAATATTAGGGATTTTCTCATATCAACCTCTTGAATCCATCGTATTTGTACCAATCACTGGAATTGCCATTAGATCGCTAATTTTTAGCAATATATATGATACTATATCATAACTTTCTACAAAATTGTTTTCTTAGTGGACTATCTAAGTTCTAGCGATGTGACAAATGGAAAAAAGTTATTGTTTATTACAGAACTACCAACAAAATTAAAGCCATTTTTATTAAATAACACTCCACTAAAATCGTGTATATCCCACAAAACAAACAACATACATCAAATCAACAATAAATTTTCAACCTTGCAGCAGTAGTAGCATCCGCAGGCAGAGCAGTAGCCTCTCGCTCTATATCTTAGCTCCATCAAACACACAAAGAGCATAAAAACCACAAAGAGCACCATAAAACCCACAAAGGACACCATAAAACCCATAAAGAATGTCTCCGTCTTTAGCCATAAATCCGATGGAGTCGAGCATTGACGGCGCACTGGTGCGTGATAGCCAGAACAATCCCGCAACAGTAGAGGTTGAAGTGTGACTTGCTGGTGACGATGGGGAAGATGATCTCGTGAAACCATGATTGACATTGCAGCATCATGTTTTAGCAGTACATGAAGCATACACTATCCTTGATGTTTGTCAATATGCAGGGCTGAGAAAACTCGGTTTTGTTGAAGGAAGGCCGCACGCGAGCTGTAGAAATGCTAGCTTTTGTAAGAAAAAAGAAGCAGTTTGGAGCTTCACTTTTGAAAGTAGAGAGATTTTTGAGATGGAGAGCAGAGCACGAGGTAAGACATTTATAGATTGATGGATTAGACAGTTGTAAGAGACGAAAAGGCTTTATTAATGATGAAGAGGCTAAATGTGGTAATTAAAAGGTCTCTTTTATGATTAACGCGATGCATGAATATATTTAGGCATGTGACTAAAAAAGGTTCATGCTTTTACTTCATGATATATAAAGACGTGCTAAAATAATTTTTTTATTAATTAAATGTTATATAAAGACATATGACATAAGCTTTTGAAACTTTTGATGGATGTCACCGAGTTTCATAAATAAGGATAATATTCTTTTGTATCGAATATATTTTAATATTTCAATAGTAGTAATATATTATAATTATACAATAATATATAATAATGTTATTGTAATATGTAACATATCTTTCAGATAGATTTAGTACATGTTGATGTATTGGTAATCACACAGTCAAAGTGTATGTATATGGACGAGTTTTGCTTAATAGGGGGGTTGCTTTCTCCCCTAACTTTATGTCTGGTTCTTGAATGGGGTTACTGGACAACCTGCATGTGTAGAAATTTATGAGAGGAGGGGGATTTGTTTCCCCGTTGTACCTCCAACAATCAAGTTATTTGATGACTTGAGTGGGGTAAAAGAAGAACTAAGTGTTCTTGTCCTTGTGCAGTATGTGTGTAAGAGAATCTAAATTGTGAACCCTCTGCCATTTCAAATAGTACCTATATTTATACCCTGTGCATAAGGGGTAGATTAGTCACTTTGGCGAGCACAGTAGGACGGTGGCAAAGTGAGAGCTGGCAATTGTGACAGCTCCTACTATACAGGTGTCGGCTGGTGACTGAAGGGAAGATCACTTCGGCATTAAATTGGAAGTGATCGGCGGCGTGGCAGGGCCTACGTGGTCTAATGAGTCATGTAAACTATCGGGGCTAGAGGTATGATGCACCTGACATGTATTTAATGCGATCTTGATATGTTGTCAGCGGGGATAAGCTCGAAGAAGTCCTTTGCCTTCACCGAGAAGCAACACCTTCTAAGTCGGTCTTGTGAGGTATTGAACGAATGGTCGAGTGAACTTCTGGCGAGTCATCTTTGACAAGAGGGCCGACTAGTACCGCTTTTTGAGTCGACATGAAAAAATATCGACTCGTCTAGTCGACTAGGTCGGACTTCATGATAGGCTTGGGCCATCAATTAGATTGGGGCGTTGATCGAGAAAGTACATCAGTCCGCTCATTTGTCAATGAATTGTATTTTGACGAGTGGGAACACCATAACAGTACCTATATAGTATTATATCTACATAACATTTATGTCTATATTCTATAGTATTATGCTATAAATTATATTTTATCTAGGAAAAATTGCTTCAAGGCCCCAAACTTGAAAAAACAATGTGCAACAGCCCCATGTACTTTTAAAGTTTTGGTAAACCCAAATTCACTCCCACAAACTTTATTTAGCCCCCTCCGCTCGACTCAACCCCAGAATCCGACTACCCTTCCCGCCACTCTGTCCTATCAGCCATCGTGCGTTTGTAACGGCCGCCACTCCGCTACATCGAGGCGCTCCTGCGTCTCATCGTCTCTCCTGGGCTCCGCGCACTCTGTCTCTGGCTACCTCCGCGAAAACCAAAACCGCTTCAGGCGTATGGTCGATACCCGATTCGCTAGATGGAGACATAAACGCGAACGAATACGAGAGTGTTCACTCGGGCCCGCCCCGCCATCCTCGCCGCCGGGCTTGCACCGTCAGGAAATCACCATACACGAGCGAGAAAGAACTCCGCCGTCGCCTCCAAGACTGACGAAGACCCCTCGCCTCCAAGACCGCGAAGACCCCCTTGTGCGCAGTCTGAGACCGGACCGTGGGCACCGATCTCACATCCCCTCTCCCCTGCCCAAGTCGCGCCACCCATTCGTCATCATCAGAGGAATGCCCCCACCGATATCACCCAAACGTTGTGAGTTATCGCAGATGGGTTTAACGGACGAAAAAGAAAAATCGACAAGTTCACTAAACCACTCACAGAAATGCCAAAAGAAGTAAGATAACTGTATATGTTATATTGTAAGTTTACATAATAAGGGGATTGGAAGTTGAATTTGAACTTATTACCTGGACTATTGCTTGAAGGACTAGTTAGCTGAACCTCAATGTTAAATGTTACATACTACCTCTAATTAAGTTAAGCTTTAAAGTTGTTTACAGGTTCTTATAATGTAATTTGGCTGCTTAAGTGTTAAGGTTTATAGCCGTACCCCTGTTAGGTTCTAGTGCATGTAACAATTTGGATGCTTGGATGTCAATGTTGTTGATGGTTAATAATGACAATGTTTAATTATAATATCGAGGAAATATATGGCAGTGGCTGCAAAATTAGAACCGCAACGGCAAGGTTTCGTCCGCATATTGTAATATTATTGAAAAGTCCTTCGAACCGAGTAATGCGGCAGGTTGGATGCTACCAATGTGTACATTCCACATAGTAATAGTGGCCCCCCACAAATGATCGACCCGAGCTGGACTTGTATTTGAGACACTATAATGTTAATGACTGGCGGTTCTCGCCCGAGCTCGAAAGGGAGACAAAAGTGTGTTAATTTGATTGACGGGTGATGAACACAGGTTCCCATGATGGGTGAAATAATTTACAATAAATAGAGATCCTACCTAGGCTTTGGGGAGTATTTCATATAACGTTTTACTAGCAAGAAAGAAATCAGCGGAAAATATGCGGCGATAGGTGGAAGAAGCTACTGCAATCTCTTGCTTGAATCAAGGAAGATGAAGGATATTAAACGATTTGTTTACTGCAGATACTTTTATCAATGTTCATTTGATGTGTGCCCAGCAGTCGTCCAATGGCATCAATGGCTCTTGTTCAAAATTATGGATTCATATGAACAGATGATGTAATGTGGCCTGGAAATCCAGTCTATGGACAACAAGAAAGGGAAAAGATAGCGCCAGCGAACGTGTCTGCAGCAGGCAGAATATAGCATACCTGAGGCATCCTTGATCCCTGTAAGTTGATTAATCTGTGCATTGAACGCTTGCCTGTTTCTGTCGACTTACGTCAGAACCATTAAGCTATGGTTCATGTAACTA